AGGCGAGAAAAGAACCACAACGCCAACCTGACTCCCCATCCAACCTGACTCCCCACATAAAACAAATAAATGCAATGTTTCACAATTTTGTGCTGTGGTAAAAATAATTTCAGTCGGTGACAGATGAAATGATCCATTTCGCTCGGCTTCGACTGGTGGAATCGTACATTTCATCGGTCACCGAATGAAGTTCACCATTGCACTTATAGTTTGAATGTCCGTATGAATTGTGGCGCGTACATGTATGCCGCGCCTGTGTTTCCAACAATGGTAAGACTCATGTCGCAACTCTCTCTGGGATATGGTTCTTCTTTGAGCTACGACGACTCCGGTACGTCTCGTCGCCTTCACTCATACCGAACGCCAGGCGACTAGCAAACGGTATCTGCGTGCTTCTATCTGCCTTGTAGAAAAGTTCAAAATTTAAGTAAATAGCCTATTACACCCTCGCTGAAATCGGAAAATACAAACCTTAACAATTAAGCCACACATCCCACACGTTATCAATTAGCGTCGAATTGATTTCACTATAGTCCGGAGGCCCTCTTGAGGGTGTAAATTATGCCTCAGCAGACCTACGCCCCTCCCACCTCCTTCAGAGGCAATCAGCTCTTTTAATTTTTCTTTAAATTGATAAAAGAATTAAAAAAAATTACGGAGAGGACATAGATCACGGGAGCCGATTGCTTCTAATGATGTTTACATCTAGTCGTTTTAATGATGTGGCCGACTTGAGGGACATACCCAGAGCAGTCAACATAACCACTGTGCGCAGCAAAAATATTTCTCAGCTGGGCTACCAGGCAGCCGCTGTTCTTGATCCAGCGATGGAGGTGGGCTCTTCGCTTGTGCAGATCTTCCGGGCTTAACTTTGTTTACAGTACGAAACGATCACACGTGCGGCCTCTTTGAGTCTATCAATTGGCAGATTTCACATTTTCGATAAGGGGGCACAAACTACCGTGAAATCCGAATTATTACTCAACTGGGTGACTCTTTCCTTTGTTATACAATTTTTTGAAAAGTTGACAGCAGACAAAAACAGGACAAGAAAAGAATGCACAACATAACAAAGCACACACAACTGCCAAACTGCCCACCCTAGATCCGCTGTTGGTACCATGCAACTAGGTGTGTAAATCCCGGTGAGATAGGGGTATACATTCCGTCAGTCTTTGAGGATGGGATGGGCTGTTGAATCCCCCTCCCTTCCGTGGTGAGAAAGCAAATTAAGCTAGAGTGTGAAGATATTTTCTGACTTGCCAACAACCAAACAATAGCACTCAGAAATGAAAAGAACAATTAAAAGGCCATAAACATGTCGTTTTGGTGTAATATTCTACAGGAATGTTATTGGCCTACCTATACAGATTACATTTGTATCATGAACATTGTCCCCTATATAGTGTCAGCATCCCCCCCCCAGGTTTTCAATTGTCCGTGACCGGGCAACTTGAAGTCATCCCCACCTTTTCCTATGCTCTATCGCCCAAATCCGGTACAAATGTATAACACTGCTACCAATATTAGCCATCAATATTACTACTTAAGCCTCGTTTTGCGTGGACGTCGTATTTAAAGCGAGGCTCCACACTTTATTCACTGAGGGATTTGAGTCATGCATGGACAACTATTGCATTATAAGCAATACACGTAATGAACTTGCCCAAGAATCAGTACATTTGTTGAGGGGGCGTAAACACTGCAGAAAAAATCACAGGGCACGCACATTAGGCAAGAGAGAATTGAAAAAGGCTCCTAAACCAATTAAATATTCTGCCTCTCTTATGTTGTCACTACATGAAATTATTTTGGAAATAAGTTCATAAAATCAGCGAAAAGACATCGAAGTGATTCCCAACCATCGTTGGTTGAAGAGGCTCTGGCAACTTTTGCAGGAATTCCAACAAGTGGATTGTTTCATACTCGTATTTCCACCAGATACCTTTGAAAGTAACCTCAACAGAAGTGCGAATGTTTACAATAGCTGTCCATCCTAACCCTGAAATGGGTAGGCAAGTTGATATTTAAAAGCTGAGGAACCGAGGGTTAATAAAAAATCGAGGTTAAGTTTAAAGTAAAGATTCGGTTTTGCTCTCCACGCCACGATCCACACGGTCTTCATGTATTACTTTTGCGCAGGGACGTTGGTTGCCTCGTCCCGACTTGCAGATGATCGGTTATATTATAGGCGAAAATCTGTTAATTACGTCTACAGCTGCGCCGATAAATTTTGACTTTTTCCGAAAATAGAACTCGACTATCTCACGATTTGTCATCGAGTCGAAGTATAGTGAATCGGCCTTAAGATGTGCTCATAAACGCCTGTTGATCGGGCAGGGGTTTGGTTTTGTCCCCAGAAATATTCGATTATTGTGCATGCTTTCATTCCGAAACACTCCAAGACAAATTGAGGAATTCCAGCATAATTCATCATCTATATTTACCCATAGGATTGTACTTAAGCAGTTGAATGGGG